TCCGTAACCCCAGGGCTAAGCCCAGCCAGCGGGCACGGCTCCGCACCAGTCCCGTCCCCAGCGTGTTCGCTCACGGGGATCGCACCTCCACGCCATTTCCCGCTGCACACAAGCCCCGAAGGCTTGGGCGAACGTAGCGCTTACGTCAGCACAGCCGCGCGGGCCGGGGGCGGAAAGCCAGGCCCTGCCTGCTGCCCCGATGCCGACCATGCGCCAGCAGAGGTTGCAGATGCCAACGCTGTTTGGGAGGTGACGGTCCTACAACAGCAAACCTGCTGGCGTGGGCTGCGTCCACACTACAGGCTGCCAGAGGCCCCAGGGCGCTGCCCGTGAATTCGACCTCAGGGCTTAGCCACTTGTGCCAGGCTCTGAGCCCCCCCACCCCGCAAATCCACACGGTGTCCCCCTTCCCAGCAGCGAAAGCACCTCCTCGGGAGCCTGCAGGGCTGGCCGGGACCCTGGATGCTGCTGCACCCCCGGCACAGCAGCTTCCGAGGGGAGTGGTGTTGGCATCGGGCTCCAGGCCTCTGGCACCACAGAGCCGAACGGCGCCAGCAGGCACCGGGAGCAGAGCCTCCTCCCGAGCGGCACCGAGAGGAGCTTTGCTGCCCTTGCCTCCTTTCCCCGGGGTTTCTGCTCAGCCTTCCTGCAGCGCGCCTGCTCCCGGAGACTGACGCTGCTACAGCCACCGCGCCAAGGCACAAGGAGTCCTCCTTCCCCGCCCGGCCCATCAGCCTGGCCCGGCCCAGCCCTCCAGCAGAGCAAAGCGCCCTGCGCACGCGGCGCCGAGACAGCAGCATGGGGTAAATCCCACTCGGATGCCGCTTTTTCCAGAGCAGAATTTTCAGTGGGAATCCTGCCCACCCGGAGCTATTTCAACCCCCCGCGATCTGCTCCACCCGGCACGCGCTCCCGGAGCCCCGCGTCTTCCCTGGCACCTTCCAGAGAAGGCCGCTCACCCGGCGCGCTCGCCCTCTCCCCACCCCGCACCGAGCAGCCGGGTTAAAACCCCACGTCCACTGCCTGCGCTCTCCTCCCCGGGGGACCAGGGACCCGCCCCCCACAGCAAAGCCAAGCAGCAGTTCTGCAGGAAGGAGACCCAGCCCGGCTCAGCCCCAGGAGGCTCTGGGGCCGCGAGGTCCTGGCTCTCGGCTCAGGGACCAGCATGCCACTTCGCGCGGGCGTTCACTGCAGGGGGCTCAGCCGGCCCATTGCAAGGTGCAGGGGGTGCAAAGGTGGGGGAACATCGGGCACAGAAGGTGGCTGCTGTGCCCGGAAGGCAGTCCGGCGACGGAGTTGCCCCCACATTAGTCACACAGGGCGGCTGGTGCCCGGCCAGTCCCTGAGACATGAAGGGGCAGACGCGGGAGCGAAGGGGGACGGTCCTGCCGGTGGTGGGTGGAAAAAGAGGGGAAAGAAAACCCACCATAAAAAGGCGCCAAGCCCCAGTGGAATCAGGTCAGATTTAAAGCGGAAACAATAAACTTGCCGGATTCAAATTAAGCATCTAATGAAGCAGGAAATATAATTTCAGGCTGCTGAATGAGTGTCCAGCGATGCAGAAAAGCCCTGCCGGGCCTGGCTGCCCGCAAACACAGCCTGCCCACGACGCTGCCAGGGCCTCCCGGCCCCCGCGCTGGGCGCTGCTGCCCCTCGCTCATGGTGCCAGCACGCCCGCAGGGCAGCTCCAGAGACCAGTGCCACTGAGCCGAACACGCCCCTCGCCTCTCTGGAGCGGGAGCCCAGGGACGGTGAGTGCGAGAGGAACAGGCAGAAGGACGTCCCCCGGGCGCTCGGCCCAGCCAGCATTGCTGCCCCTTCCCCTGCCCACTGAGCCGGGGGCAAAGCTGGCAACGGAGCAATCCCCCCTGGCTAGCACCTCTGCCAACATGCTCCTTACCCCGCACTCGCCCCACCTCAGCTTGCCTGGCAGGTGAAAGGCTGAAGGACACCGAGTCAGTCGGTGGCAGAGCCGGGCTAAGGGATTCAGGTACTATGGTGGCAGGGGCTATGGAAGTCGGGGGACGGGTGCTCAACTATGCCTGGGCATGGGACCTGCTGGCACCCAGTCTCCATCACAAGCCAAATGGGGGAAGGGCTGGGGCAGGACCAATCTGAGCAGTCCCAGTGCTTCTGCCCCTTTCTGGGGCCTGGCTTCCCCTGCCCTACAGCTGGTGGAATTCCCGTGCACCTGTCCCTATTGCTGTACCCACACGCCCACTCCCCAGAGTATCAAGGGAATCCCTCCCTCACCTCGCAAAGCTGAGCAGCGTTACCGCCTCCACGCTGCCGATGGGAATGCAGCACCGGGAGACAGGCCCAAGGTTGCTCAGGTAGGCAGTGGCAGAGTCGGGAACTGAACTACATTCTCCCAGGGCCCAGCCCCTGCCTTAGCCACAAGCCCATCCCTCCTTGCTTGACAAGGTGTCCCCCGGCCCCTCTCACCAAGCGAACAGGGCAGTGACACAGGCGCTTGGCTCTGCGGAACGGGTTTGCAATGCCCAGGCCGCGGGGGCTGACCCCCCATCGTCCCCCTGCCTCTTCATTACGGTTTCTCTTCCATTCCCGGCTCCTTGACCCTGGCTCCCCACACGCAGCCTGTCCCCGCCCCTCGCTCCATCACGCAGGGAGGGAAAGGCCCTTCCAAGGTATCACCACTCTGCATTAGCTCTCCATTCCCCACGTCCTCCCGTTCCACTCCCCCTCACGGTGCGCCCGGTCCTGCAGGGTCTGTGCCACTCCAGGCCCAATGCTCCCTCCGGCCCTCGGCCCTGCAGAGCCGCCCTGTGCCCACCAGCAGCAGAAACTGGAATCACAGAGCTCCTGAAAAGCGCCAGAGTCCAAGGCCCGAATCCCACGGCCTCGCCCTCCCTCCGCGGCTGCGGGAAGCGGCCCCCTCTCGCAGGCTGAGAGCAATGCTGTGCTCACACAGGGCAGGTGGGAAACCGAGGCCAGGAAAGAGCTGCAGGCTCCCGGCTCCCCAGGAGCGGGGCTGGAGCCGGCACAGAGCAGGGACACAGCGCGGTGCCAGGGAGCGTGGCTGTGTGTCCTCGCAGCACGGGCAGAACACGTGGGTCCTGACCCTGGAATTCCTGTGTGGAGAAACTGAGGCAGGCCAGTCAGCGGGCCTCCCCTCGAGCATCCCCAGAGCCCTCCCTTGGGAGTGGGGGATTTGTCCTCTTGCCCCAGACCCCACGGCTCTCGGGAGCTGCTAGAGGTCACGGCCCTGTAGGCCTGGGGGTGGAGCAGTGGTTTCTGTTACAGCCCGAGGCGGCGATGAGCGGATCTCCCCTTCCGAGCCCTCCTCAGCTCGTCCCCAGCCAGGGCCTGGTGCTCTGCCCCCTGGACAGAGCCTCCGTTGATTTCCTCCCTGCCTACTGCCCCACCCCCGATCGTTGGTTCTTTGTGAATGAAACCGTCCTCCGCCGCAGGAACAGAGTCCCAAGGGCTCCGGCAACAGGGCACCAACGCCACGGCATACCAGCCCAAGCTGCCACCCTCCCCTTCCGGGAGTGGAAGGGCAACTTCCCAGAGCCCGGTGCCACGTGCCCCGGGAACCAGCAAGCCTCCCTGCCTACTGCCCCACCCCCGATCGTTGGTTCTTTGTGAATGAAACCGTCCTCCGCCGCAGGAACAGAGTCCCAAGGGCTCCGGCAACAGGGCACCAACGCCACGGCATACCAGCCCAAGCTGCCACCCTCCCCTTCCGGGAGTGGAAGGGCAACTTCCCAGAGCCCGGTGCCACGTGCCCCGGGAACCAGCAAGCGCCGCTGCATTTTGGGAGCAGCCCCGCCCTGGGCGAACGCTGCCTGGAAGGCGACCCCCGGACGCCAGCAACCTCCAGTCCGGGCTCCGGACGCCAGCAACCTCCAGTCTGGGCTGCAGCAGCCGGGGCAGCGTCCCCCCGTCTCCGATCCAACCCCCGGGCCCAGCCGCCTCTCACCAGGATGGGGAAGCCCATCAGGAAATCGTAAATGAACACGACGCCGGTGACCAGGTAGGTGATCTGCAGCGAGGTCTTGACGGGCTCGGAGCCGTCGATGGACGAGCGCCGCTTGCCCTGCGCATCCTCCACCACGATGGCGGGCACGGTGAACTGGTGCTTGTGGGGGGGGCGGCCTGCCTG